TTACACATACAGAGCACAATTTTTCATATCTTTGTATATAACATGTTCACGCCAATTCATGTCTTCAAACATGTACTTTTTTGCATCACAATTCTTATTACACATATATGCCACAATTTTTCATATCTCTGTTTGTGTATAAAGTAGGTTGACACCCAGAAACATCAGCCTGGCTACTGGACAGAGAAGTAACTTTGGTGGAAAGGGATAACCAGTCAGGAGGCTACCGTGGGAATGCACGTGACATAAAACATGACTCCAGAGGAGCTGAAGAGCTTCCCATGGTGAGGGCCCTTGGGAGACAGAGGCAGTAGGAATTGCTGAGGGGTGGTGGGGTGGCCAGAGGTATGTGCAGAGAGGTAGGTGACAGGGTTGGCTCTCCATTTTTATTTCAGGGTAATACCCAGATGGGTGGTGGTGTTACTCAGCGTTCCTCAGAGAGGAATGCTGCAGAAGTTGCATGGTTGCAGACAGTGGGGAGGGTGTGAGGGGCACCACGTTGCTGTATTAGGATGAAATGCCTATGAGATATGCAGGAAGAGACATCACATAGACAGTCCAACAAGTAGGACATCATCTCTTGGCCTCATTCCTCCTCTAGCCCACCCCCAATGTCAGGGCATTATACCATTGCCTCCTCTGCAACTCGCCTTCCCCCACCTAGAAATAGCACACGGTTTTGGAAACCCCACTGAATCATCCCACGTTATAAGTCACGCTCGTTGGTGTTTGTGTGATCACCCATGCACAAAATGGCTCTGCCACAATGCATCAGTCTTTCTCCAGCCGATAGATGCTTGCTTCATGTTCTACTTTGCCCGGTAGGAGTTGCTCTGTGATGAAACATGCTTGCAGGTATGTCCTTATGTTGTGGAGCTCTGATTTCCATAGGACCAATTCCCATTTCATCCCTCTGCGCTCACATCTGTCTCCCTGGACTCTTCAGAACCTTATCCGTTTGCTAAATGGGTGGTATTTGAGATCATTTCATAGCAAGTGTTCATCTTTGTTAAATAACAGGGGCACTCCCTAGATAAAAGCCTGAGCTGAGTTTTTGTTGGGCTGAATCTCACAATTATTTTTGTTTGGAGGAGTCTGGTGCAAATGAACAGAGACAATATGCCTATCCCTAAATACACTTAGGCTTCCGTTCTCCATTCTGCTATGCATCCTCGTGCAGCCCCGGCAATGAGAAATACATGGGAGGAGGCTTCACAAAGCGGACCCCTGACTTTGGAGTTTTGATGCACTTTTGCATAGAGTCCATCTGTCCATCTCCCAACTGGTGCCAACCCACCCCTTCCTTCCTCCACTCTTTCTATATTTTCCCTCCTCTCCGAACCATACTCCCACTCCTTTGGCTATCTCCCTCCTGATAGGAAGAAGGAGGTGGGCCACACGGAACAGCAGACCACTCTTTGAAGGTCTCCATATCCACAGCTCTCATTTCAAAGCCTCACTGGGAGATGATGAAAAAGAGAAGTCCGAACCCCAGCCCACAAAGTTGTCCTCATCTCACGTTAAACCAACTCCCCTACACGCAGCAAGGAGCAGTCCTTCTCAATCCCTTTTGTGGGCTTGTCCTCCTCGTGCAAACAGGAGCTCCATACACACTCCCAACTGTCTCTCACCCCTCTCAAAACCTACCCCACCTGGTCCCCTTACCTCCAAAGACCACGCTTGGCACCTCCCTGATGAGCATGTGCAAGGAAACATCCCCACAGGAAACATTCATTTCTGAAGTTGGTTCACCAACTGCCCTTAACCCACCAGCAAGTGCCGCCTCTTCTGTTTGCAAAATTCCACAGGAATTCACCCACTGCTCTCCACATTATGCTTGTGGTCTGGGACAAGGCATTGCCGGCTCTCCATTGGACGATCGCAGGAGCCTCATAACTGGTTCCTTTGCTTTCCTTTGTGCCCTGCCCACTTGCAACGTTTTCCATACAGAGCAGCCAGAGGGAAATTACTGAATGTAAATTCAACCATGACACTCTCCCTGGCTCCCCAGAGCACCCTAAGAACCAAACCTCTCCAGTGGCTCCTGCCCATCACTGCACCTTTCTTCATTCCCTCCCTCCATCTCCTCTGGCACAGGGCTCCAGCCACACACACAGTCACATCACATAATCTCATCACCTCATCCCCACTCAGCAGCAATCATGGCTTCCCCCTGAGCCTCTGCATCCTCGAGTTCCTCTTGGACAACCACCTAAAATGGTGAGGCACAGCTCATCAACCTCTGCCTGCAAGCAACCTGGACCCCCAGGAGATGGCTCCTAGCAGTTTTGTGGCAGTGGTCACTGTGGTCAGCTATGGACTGTACTGCAGGATACTCCTAGTTCTCTGCCCCTTGCCTTTGCTGTCTCTCGCCCTGCCTAGGGCCAGAGAGCTGGGCTCTGCAAGCCAGCAAGGTGTAAGTCTGTGTGCGTGTGTCTGCTGCTCAGCCAACCTGGGATGCTTGCCAGGCAGCGAGGATAAGTTCTCACTGTCTCGCCACCCCCCCCCCCCCCGCCATGGTAACTTGGTGGCTTTCTCAGGTTCAGGGTTCACAGTGGTTGTTCTTCCATGCGTGACTGCTCAGGTCCAGCTACCATCACCACCAGAGAAAGCCAGGTTCATTTACCCAATCACAGTGGATGGACAGGGGGTAGGGAGGTATGTGCTGAGCCCATGATACTCCATGGCCACTACAGTCCAATCACCTGGCACATATATGCTGCTGCTGGCATTTTTGTTATCCATAGGGACAGCATGAGCTCCAGTGTTGTGAAGATGTCCTGGATGAAGGCACTATGTTTGGTCCCTTGGTTGTTATCTAAATATCTGTACCCACTGGCTCATGGTAAGTGTGAGACCCCCATATCTCGAATGAAAGAGGGATGAGACAGGTTTGTTCTGACTCTTTTGCAACTGGTCCCATGTGACTGTCTACTTTTTTTTTTGCCACCCCCATCTTGGATTGATCTGTGTGTACGCCATAAACAAGCACAGGTGTGTGCTCACACATGGGTACTTATGTGAATGTGGATGATCAATTTGTTCTCTCTCTGAAGTTCTGATTGTAAATCTTCCCTGCTTGAATATGCACAAGAGTGGAGCCTGTGATCTGGAGTGCAGGTTTCAGGCACCTTAGCTCACCTCTCTGCCTTCAGGCCCTATCTCCTACTCTGCACCTTTTTTTTTGGGGGGGGGGTACTGTAGAGTGAATCCAGGGGCACTCAACCGCTGAGCTACATACCCAGCCCTTTTTTGTGTTTTATTTATAGACAGGGTCTCACTGAGTTGCTTAGAACCTCTCTGGGCTGCTGAGACTGACTTTGAACCTGGGATGCTCCTGCCTCTACCTCCCAAGCTGCTGGGATAACAGGCATGTGCCACCATGCCCAACCCTACTCTGCACCTTTGGAGACCATGAGCTCTATCCACATCAGATTATCAGGCATGATCAGAAGATACCATGTGAGCGCTATCTTGCCACAGGGCCTTGAACACACAAGTGATCCCTCTGCTTCCAGTGCCTCCCCTCCTGTCTAGACCTGATGGACTGCTACTCATCTTTTAGGGCCTACCTCAGGGTGTTTCATCTTTGAGGCAGCCTCCCTTGATTCCTACTAGGAAGAATTAGTGGCTGTTTCTCCTTTCTGTACAATTTGGGAATCTAGTTTCCATTACAATCTACTCTGAGGGCTGCTAGCTGCTCGCTGATCTGTTCCCTCAACATTAAGCCCTGCGTAGCCTCATTGCTCCTATCTCTCTCTGTCCCCAGCCCCCTGCCCCGCTCTCTCTCTCTCTCTCTCTCTCTCTCTCTCTCTCTCTCTCTCTCACACACACACACACTCACCCCCACACACTCATGCATATACACATAGGAATCACTTCTTTTCTTCCTGCCCCATACCTCAACACATCAACGCCCATTGCTCAGTTATCACATCATTGCCTGTCTCCTAGCCACCAGTGCTGTAGGTATAGCTGGTAGACTAGGACTAGGAACCTCATTCTAGAGAGAGATTTCAGGATTTGTTTAAATTTTTCTTTGAATGTGGATGTGCCTTTCTTGGTCCAGGTTGGAAACCTCAGCACCTTGAGAGCACAGCCAAGACTAAACAAGTGCCTGGCTCTGGACCAGGGCCTGCTCCCTGCCCTTGATTTGACCTTTCTCATGTGAGGATTGAGGATGGACCTAGAAACAGGGTGCTCTTGATCCTCCCACTTCCAGGCAGGTGGGCCCGAGCTGGGGTGTTCAGAAACCTAAGTCCATAATTCTGCTGGGATAGGGTTTCCAGTCCAGATTGTTTGCTCCAAGAAAAAGCTAAAAACCAGGCTATGTCCCCCTGTTTCCCAGACCTCTGCATCCCTAAGGACTGGCAGGGGCCATCCATAAATATTTGTGGCAGAGGAGGGAAAGAACTGGAAAAAGGAAGGAGGGTTCAGAAAACAGACTAGTCGGCTGCATGGGTAGCTTGGGAGCCTCCGAAAGGGAATGTTTTCATTGGTGGTGGTGACTTTGAGGCCCTCTGTGCTTTGTGGTGGGGGAGGGACCCCTGAAAACTCGTTTCCTTGGCTTTGTTTATCTTCAAGGCCACCCCCACCCACTCTTGCAAGGTACTTGATTTAAACATTGAAATGTTCCATTACAAGGAGAAGGGCACAAAAACAGCCCCGCCCCCCACCCCGCGCCCCCACCATGGGACCCGAATTCCTTTGGTCCACAGTGGAGCCCTTTCCCTGGCATCCTCTTCATGAATATGCAGAGGCCCCAAGAGGCTGAACACTGAACACCCCCATCCCACCTCCATAGCCACCCCGCCTCTAGCCTCAGGCTGTGCTCCTGCTCTGGCTCTGGCTCCCACCCCCTCCCACCACCCGCGGCCCCAAAGCCCCGCAGCTGCCACAGGGGGAACCAAAGAGACAGAAGCCTTCCCAGCTGCCCGGACCGCAGACGCCAACACCCCCCGCCCCCCACCACACGCCGCCCTCCCGCCCGCGCCCCGCACGTTAGCCCACGACCGAGCGGCGGCGGCAACAGCAGCAGGCTGCAGGCTGCGGCGACTCGCATCGGCGCGCTCCTGGCGGCGCTCGCCATCCCAGGTGATTTGGACTCGCCAGATCGGCTAGCTCTGGGGCCCCCTTCCTCAGCTCCCGATCGCAACCCCTGTCCCGGGTTCCAGCACCCACCGGGCCTCCTGCCCTCCCCCTCCTCTCCACCCACTCAGTTCTCTGGAAGGGAGGTCGCGGCAGCGGCCCAGTGTCAGTGGTGATCCTGGCGACAGCGGCGACAGTGGCAGCAGCGGTGGCGGCGGCGGTGGCGGCTGCGGCTGCCGCAGCGGCAGAGGCTGCGGCGGCGACCGTGGCCGAGGCGGTGGCGGAGGCCTCTGTAGCGGAGGCGGAAGCAGAGGTGGAGGCCGAGGTGGAGGCCGAGGCCTCCGGAAAGGAGGCAGAGGCAGAGGCCAACCTGGGGCAGGAGGGGGAGGCCGCCCGGGCGTCAGCTTTGGTGGCTGCGGCGGAGGCCAGCACTGCCGCTGCCGCCTCCGCAGCAGTGGAGGCTGCGGCGCCCCGCATGGGGGAGCTGGATGTGGATGAGGAGCTAGCGGCGGCGTTGGCCGCCGAGGATGCAGGTGCGGAATTGGGCGGGGGCTCGGAAGGGAACCCCGATTTTCCCATGGCCTCTCTGTACGTGGGCGACCTGCACCCCGAGGTGACCGAGGCAATGCTGTATGAGAAGTTCAGCCCAGCGGGGCCGATCCTGTCCATCCGCATTTGCAGGGATAAGATCACCCGCCGCTCTTTGGGCTACGCATATGTCAACTACCAGCAACCAGTGGATGCCAAGCGAGCCCTAGAGACCCTGAACTTTGATGTCATAAAGGGCAGGCCAGTGCGCATCATGTGGTCCCAGAGGGACCCCTCGCTCCGCAAGAGCGGGGTGGGCAACGTCTTCATCAAGAACCTGGGCAAGACCATCGACAACAAGGCGCTGTACAACATCTTCTCGGCGTTTGGCAACATCCTCTCCTGCAAAGTGGCCTGTGATGAAAAGGGGCCCAAGGGCTATGGGTTCGTGCACTTCCAGAAGCAGGAGTCGGCGGAGCGGGCCATAGATGCGATGAATGGCATGTTCCTAAACTACCGCAAAATTTTCGTCGGGAGATTCAAGTCGCATAAAGAGAGAGAGGCTGAAAGGGGAGCCTGGGCAAGGCAGTCCACCAGTGGTGACGTCAAGGATTTCCAGGATGACACCGATGAGGAGGCCACCTTGCGATGAGCAAAGCCAAATCTTGGCTCCCACCCGGTTTACAACCCCCCCCCCCCCAACCCACCAGCAGTGTATTGTATTGGGAGTGCAGGTCTCTCTCTCTTCCCCCCACCTCCCTCTCCCTCTCCCGGCCCCCTCCCAGAGTCTTTCCTCTCTCCCCCCTTTCCCCACTTCCTAGCTTCTGCCTCCTCTCCTTCTGTCCTCCCCTGCCCCGCCCCCCACCCTACCTAGGGCGTCCTGAGCAACCCTACTAATCTGTGCCATTTGATAAGTTAAAGGCTGCCTCTTCTCCCTGTGGTTTGGTTCATGAGCGCATTTTCTGTCTCTCTTTGTTTACTGCACAGGTGATAGAATTTCATGGTACAACTATCAGAAAGGAGAAGGAAATCATATGAGAGAAAAGCAAGAGAGTAGTTGCTCCCTTTGATCCCACTTCCCAGAGAGAACCACTTTTACCTTTTTGGTGTGCTGTTTTTCCAGGCTCTCTTATCTCCCTCCCTCTTGCCCTCACCCCACCTCCCCTCTTTACATACTGTTGTAGAATGGTTCATCTATGTGGTGTTTCTTAACCTGCTTTTTCAGCAACTAAAACCAAACAAAAATCAACCCATTGAACTTCTTTCCATGCGATTCAACAGGCTTATGAAACGTCATCATCAGTGCCTGCAGAGTGCTCCTGTGTATCCATGGACCTTAACATTTCTGTAATCATTCCCGCATTGTTGGACATTCAGGTGGTGCCTAGTTCTTTCCCTGTGTTTAAAACCAACTCTGCGTGCTCTGATGAGTGAATCCTTCCTTGTCAAGCCAAATCTTTGCTAGCATCCTGGATGGTCTCCCTAACTGTGGACTTGCAGGATCCACATATAGACGTTTCAGAGACTTTTCCTGTGTGTTACCAAAAGGCCCCCTTCATAAGCATCGTGCTGATTTGCACTTGTGCCAGCCAGCGCAGCTAGTAAAAAGAGTATGCCCATTTTCCCTGCATAGTCTTCTTGTTGCTGTAATTGGGGTGTGTGTGTGGGGGGGGGTGTGTGCGTGCGTGTGTGTGTGTGTGTGTGTGTGTACCTTGTTCAGCTCAGATGGGCTGCAAATGCTATTTCGCTGTCCTTGGTTGTTTTGCTGGAATAGAATACTGTTAATCACCCTTTCCCCCTGTGTCCACTTTATGTCCCCTTCCCTGTTGTCCAAAAAAAATTCAGCTTCACTGCAGGAAAAAAAAAATCACAACGCAGACAAATCAACAGAAGAAAATTAATGTTGTCAGTAATCAATCCTAATGACTACCCATGCGTTCCTAAACATGCTTATGTGTACCTACCCAGTTTTTTTTCGTGTGATATATATATATGTGAATTTAGTGTATATACTGTTTCAATATCTGCTTTTTCACACATGAAAATATAATATAGATTATAGACATAGATGTATAGATATTCTTGAACTTCCTTTCATGTCATTAAATATTCTTCTACACTACTTTCTATGGGAGTCTATTATTCTGGTGTATGAATGGGCTAAATACAATGATAGATCAATGTATGTACACATCTGTGTTATTTTATATATAGTTATGTCTACTTTTTTTTTACATATTTTGTCTTTGTTGAACATCTTTGTCACCTTACATTTTTTTTCTTATCCTAATCAAATTGCCAAGAATATCATAGTGCACATAACTTTCTGTACTTACT